TTATCATTAGCTATTTCCCACTATTTATGCTCAGATAATTGACTTGGTAATTTCTCTATCAAAATATAAAGGATTGAGGTACTAGGTTGAAGAGACCTATGAGAAATTTGAAGTATCTCCTCACTCTACAAAAACAAGGGTCTCTTCAGAATTGGCAGCTACCCTAAGAAGAAAATTACAGCAAAAGGGGAAATTGGAAAGGGATAATTGGGGAAGAAAGGGATAATCCATACTTCTTTATATTTTTTCAATCAGCCTGTCATCCCAGGTAGAATTTGGTTTCCATTATCCTTCATTCCATTGAAGACAATGTTGTTTTTTATCCAAGCCTTACTAAGGGTAAGGGAATAGAGGATCATGACACTTTTCTAAAAGGTTGTCCCCTTGCTGCAGTTAATAATTATATCTTAAATATTTATTGAAGATTAGTTATTATTCTGTCAATTCAAGTTAAGTACATCAATTTCTGCAGCAAGTTAAAGTTGTAGAAATAAGTTGTTTTTTTATTCTTGCAATGGGTTCTTTCTTTGCAAATTAATCATATAATAGCAATATATGTGGACTGGAATTGCTATTCTCCATTCTTTATTAAATTTATCTTACTGATAGGCACATGAACTGACTTAAACTCAGAACTATGTGTAAGAGGACTTTATAATTTCATCCCCATCGTAGTCGATGTCATGAAATGAATCACATAATACTCATATGTCAAAGGGAGTTAAAGAGCCCTCTTTCAGTAAGAGAGCATTTAGGGACCCTGCCTTTATCAGGGAGACTGATCAGAGCTGGTTTCCTGATGGATATGCTAACTTGGAGGAAAGTGTTGAGTATATGTTAAGATTGGGTAGGTGGGGGGTTGTTGTTGTAGATGCAGCTTGGCTAAGTCCAGGTAGAATGTCTGGCACTCTTGGATGTGAGTAGTAAGTGATAGTTGTGGGGCGAATCATTTGTGGGAGTTTGTTTTGGGTGCTGTGGTTTAAGTGAGATTGTGGGTATGAGTTATATATAGTGATTGAGTTACTGTGTGCATTTACTGTTCATGGTTTTTAATGCTATGTGGTTTTGGTTGGTTGCTGATTAGTTAGAGAGGTTCAATATGGAATCACATTTTGGAGGAAATAGGCAGCATGATCCTAGTTATTATCAGGTATCCCAGGTACCTGGGAGATATGGTAGGGGTGCTGGACCATTTCAGGGGAAGGAAGATCAAAATTTATTATGGATGTCCACTTCTAGCTTGGCAGCCCCAATCTTAGGTCCTGATGGTTGAATCATTCATGACTTTGGGTTTACATTGCTGCTAATAAATGCCAGGTCCATTTGTAATAACCCTAACCCATGCTTATCTATGACTTGATTCTGGATAAGCTTATGGACCTCCATCTATTACTGAGACCTGGTTAAGAGTGGTGATACTCTTGGACATTTGCCCTTCTGGGTTTTGAGTCCTGCAGCAATCTTGGGCTCAGTGTTGGGATGGTGGTGTTGATCTTACCGGACAATGTATTTGTGACCAGGGCACTCTTCCTGAGATGGTGGGGTGTGAGAACCAATGTGTTTAGTTGGGCTTTAGGGATGAGCTGGATATTTTTATGATCTACTGGCATGCTGACTGGGGAATTCTGAGAGTTGTTCACACATCTTAAAGTAGCTGAGGTTGAGAAACTGCCTTAGGGTATTGGTTGACTTCAGTCTCTGTGCCATGGGTCTGGGACCAAGACTGCCAGTGATTTTCTTGGCAATCATGGACTTGCTTCAAGTGTTCTCAAGCCTGACATATGCTCAGAGCAATTGTATGGTTATCTGAACATGGGGATATTAAACCTTCCCCATTGTCATGGTTGGATCTCTTTCTGATCCAGTTAAGATTAATTGCCATAAGGACCTTTGCAGAGTAGGGATCTGTTAGGAGGGTGTGCCTGATGAATTCAGATGGTTTCTGGAAGCACTTGAGGAGTTTCCCAACTATCTCAGAGGCTATTTCACCATTTGGTTGATTACCCTCTAGCACAGGGTCTCAACGAATGTGCTCCTAAGTGATCCCCTTCTGTGTCCCGATCCTGAGGCACACCTTGGTTCTCTGAGGAACCATGGGAGCTGAAGCACCAGAAATGATGCCTAAAGCACTGATGGAGAAAGATCAAAAGTAAATGTGACCAAGCACAAATACAAATTCAAATTTCTGCCTACAGCATCATTACTTTTTCTCCCTTATTGTGTTAGTATGTTGTGGCCAGCAGCCTTGTTTAGGAGAAGAATGGACAGGATGATCACTCACTTTGGCTGCTGTGACCAGCATTTTGCTAACTTGGATTTGCCAAAGGTGACTCCTATTGGGCAAGTCTGATGTGATGGTTGGGGCCTCCTAGCTTTATTATTTGGACTCTTTATGGCCTGTAGACTCTGAGGAAGTATATTGAGTCTCTCTGGTATGACCCCAGCCACTTGAAGGATTAGACCATGCCCTTCCTAACTCTTATGTGGGGGAGGGAAAGGTGACTTGCTGGATCCAGGAAGTGGTTAATGCCTCTCTTTGGGAAGGGGAGATGCCAGCAGCCTTGAAACAACCTTTGGGCACCCTCTCCTTAAGGAATAACTATTTATTCCAATCTTCCCTTTTGGTCAAATACATGGTGATCAATGCAGCTGCAGAGCACCCTGAAGCAAATAAATTATCTGGCCCCATTTCAGGCCTGAGTATAGGATGGATGTGACCTTAGCTGCTATAGTGGATGAACTTTGTTGGGATCTTGATGGAGGTAGGACTTTTAGATCTCCTGGTTGCTCGTTTAACCATGTCTTAGGGACTGTCTGTGGGGGTTGAGGATTGGTGGCAGTATTTTATAGTGCTGTCCCTACATCAATGGGCCATTCCAGTCAGTGGCAGTCAGGCAGTTTGGCTCAGTGGTCCCTCCCTAGTTATGTGCCACAGGGGTAATTTCCTTCTCCCTTACTGTTCAGCATGAAGTTGCTCTGGGAGGTCATCTAGAAGTTCAGGGTGTGATACTATCAATATGCTGTTGATACTCAGCTTTCTACTGCAACCCCTTCCCCCCACAAGGCCCACCAGGAGATTGTGTCAAAATCCTGCCCCAATGACTAGAGACTGACAGGGTCTGGATGGGATGAAACAGTCCAAAGTTGAATACAAGCAAGATGGAGTTACCTTTGGTTCATTGTAGTTGTCTGTAGCTCTGGCTGGGACTCTTGAAGGGGTGGCATTGTCTCAAGAAAGTAAGTCCACTAATTACAAGTCTTTGTGGACTGGTGGCTATTGCAGGTAGAGACTGTGGCAGTATACAACTTTAATAAATAAATGCTTCTCATTAATTGTATTGGGTGATTGACTAGGTAAATTGTTTATTTAAATTGTATCCTGAGGTTAATAAAAGGAAAACATTACACTTATTCTGACTAGGCATTTGGTGTGACAGGTAAAGAACAGTGTTGAAATAAAATGTTTGTTGATAGTTTATTGATATTATTATAAAGTATTCTATAGAAAAAGGATTATTGTTGTAGCCTATTATATCAATTACCATGAATGCTATAGGCTTGTCTGACATAAATGCAAATGTATATTTTATGGTGAAGCTAAAATAATGAAAAAACTTTTTTTTTCTCAAAGCTTGATTATATAACTGCACTGTTTTCAGTTATTTTACTTCTGATTCACATGAAAATAGATACAGAGTTATTGCTCTTTCACTGTTAAGCAAGACTGAGCAATATACATACATTATTTCGTTCTAGATAACTAATATCTCTTATTCTATGGAATGAACAAATAATAAGGAACATAAAAGATCTGCATATTCAGTAATATTGAGTTGAATCATTCAGGATTAAAGATGTTTTCCTTTTTAATGTAAAGCTTAAAAACAACAGGTGGCCTGGTTAGGGCTTAGATTGGTGACCTCCACGAAATATTGAAATATGTATTGGAAAAAGTCAGTGGCAAGTCACGGTCCTACATATAGGTCCCTATAAGGTCACTAGGGGTCAAACTTGACTTAGTGGACTGTTTTGTCAGTAATTTCATATATCCCCTTTTTGCTTACTTGCTTATTATGAATTATCATAATTTGTGGAAATTTTGCTCTTATGTAAGGAATAGAAATGAAATCTATGGTATTTGGTAGATAATTATGAAATTAATATTGATGGTGGTACAAACACCCTACTTTTCTTTTTAGCTGTTTTTCCAGTAAGATCTCTTATAAAATGGGTACATGATAAGATCTGCAGTACATGATAAGATCAAGACACACACTCTACTCTTTCATATCTGTCTTCCTGATGTAAGGTGCAGGTTTTGTCTGGTAACATCATGATGCATCTCTTGCCCCTTCTCCCTGCCCTGCAGATGCCTATAAATGCAATGGAGTGCAAACCAAATGGTTTTTTATCTACAAAAAAGTTGGACATACAATTCAGAAATTATCTGTCCATTTCCTAATTCTTTTTAGAAAATATAAGCCTTTAAAACAATTTAGTCTCTTTTCTAAAGTCCAAAGTTCTAATAAGAACTTTGGACTTTAGAAAAGAGACTAAATTTGGGATGGATTTTTCTCATGAATTAAATATGTAAATAACTGAGCAGGTTACATTTTACAATAAATATCCTTAAACAGAATGCTTTTAATGCCTTATTAGTGGATTTTTAAATACTTCCTTCTGAAAAGATAATGTGGATCTTGATTGGTACAGAGACATAAAATATTGCATATATATTAAACATTAAAAAGGTGGATACAGGCAGAATAAGCAGTTCAATTATTATCTCCAGTTATACAGTTACTGCCACAAGGATAGTTCAACCATTTCATATTTTATTTTTCTTTCTGAAAGGTGAGTACTGAGGTTCAAATAACATGTCAGCACTGCTAGAAATTGCATAATTTATAGACCTTTTGAAAAAGAGGTAAATTGCTTTTCATAAACTGTCTCTCTCTTTTCTCCCCACACTCACCCCAAAATATTTTTTCTCTCTACAGATTGGAGCATTGAAGGATTATTACCATTTTTACCATAGTAAAACAATTAAACGGTCAGTTCTCTCAAGTAGAGGTACTCACAACTTCATTTCAATGGAGCCAAAGGTAAGCTAACCTAGATAGTTGATCATATATGATTCAAGCCTTTGCATTTTTAATTTGAAACTTTATGCCAGGGGATGTTTATCTGGATAACATCTATAGTTACAAGAACTGATTGTCATCTGCTCGTTAAGATTCTGTTTCACATGAGAAGAGAATGGTGGTGGTATTATACTGTACTATACTAAGAATAGTGTGCCACCATTATTTATAAAATAGCACGTGAATATTGTGATTTGCATGTCAAACCTAATATAATATAGCAGCTTGTAATTATCTTACTTCTAAGCAGTGACCCTTTCTTAGAATAATGAAGGGTTTGACAGTAATTTCTACCCCAAAAGTCCACCATTGAAATAAGTTTTTGAGCAAGGGTTTTTTGTTGTTTTTGCAAAATGTATTCTTTCACATACATTATTTGGCTCAAATGTTATTATTAACTCACTGCATGCCTCATGTTAATGGTTTATAATTTTTGTTTTTTGTTTTTCATTTACAACCTTCTCCACAATAAAACTTTTTTTAAAATATATACTGCCTCTTGGATATAAAGAATCATGATTCTTTTATTGTAGTGAAACAAATAGATATGCGTGTAACAAGGATATATTGTTACTGGAATTCTACTCATGGCAATAATTGTATCACAGTATTTGATTATTTTAAAATATATCAACTTTAAAATTTTCATCTTAATTTTATAAATTGGTATGCCAACATGATGTATCTGCTTATGATAATTATATGCTGGCAATGGTGATTGAGGAATATATATTGGTGTGTTGCAAATATTAAGAACTTCAATGTAAAGTAGGCTGCATTATTATTTCTTGTTCACAAGAATAATGCTAAGACACTTAGTTATTTGATCATATAAATGTGGAAGGAACAGCCTCACAATAAAAGTTAAATGCTCTCGTTTTTTGCCAATAAATGAGTATCTGGTCATTTATTTTATAGATGCTGGTTTTTGATAATTTTGTTACATATTGAATATATTGCTACAGGAAAATTAGTAAGCAGGTAATCTTGGTTGATCTACATCTTACAGAATATCTTAAAGTTTTCCACAAAAACTAATTTAAGTAAGATATGGATAATTGACAACTTGTACATTCTTTTTTCATTTTACTTTGGTGTTTTCATTTTGATTATAAGCAAATTATTGTAAACTAAAAATACAGTCAGTATAATTTCTTATGAGAAACATTCTTGACTAGATAGGAATGTTGATAGGAATAAATGAAATGAACCATTAGAAAAATAGAGGCTGCTTTACATTAAAAATAATATGTGACTCCTCATATTTATACATCACTGTCACTATAATTTTCTAATCAACAGATATCTGTAAAGGTTGAAGCTGTCATACTTTGAATTAATGTAGCATTTATATTACACCATATTTAAATAACTCTGGATGGTTCACAATAATCAAAATGCACAAATAAAACAATTGCAAATTAATTTGTTTAAATGGTATACCAGAAAATCCATCTCTTTTTATTACTAAGAGCTTTCTTACTAAGCCCTTTAAAATGATCTATTACACTAAAATGCTGTTCAGTATATCTGAACAAGAAACAGATTGATCTACAATTTTACACTTATTCTGTCCACATTAGTATAACAAACAGATTGGCATGTAAAATATAATCCATGGAGCTGCAGACTTTCCTTTTTTTTCCTTTCCTTTCCTTTCCTTTCCTTTCCTTTCCTTTCCTTTCCTTTCCTTTCCTTCCCTTCCCTTCCCTTCCCTTCCCTTCCCTTCCCTTCCCTTCCCTTCCCTTCCCTTCCCTTCCCTTATGCTGTTCATTGGGCTGGATATAAAGATGGACTATAATTTTGAGATTAGCAGGATGCACAGAGCTGCATCTTGTTGTGGAAAAAGTAATGATACCTACTTGTCCACTTTATCCTCATTATCATACCATCTCAGAAACCTAAGCTCTAGAAAATAAGCAGGTATCACGTTCTCACACGTTACAGTGTTGATAGCAGCAGTACTGAAGGCAGATTAAGGTATTTGAACTTTAAGCTGAAGGAAAGCTATTTATTGTTCCACTGGCTTGCATCAGATGTAACAGTATCCTGATGAAATATAAACATTTAAAGCCACAGATGTTGAAGGATTTTGTTTTGCTTTTTCAACTGGGACATATTGGGTTTCAGTCAGTATGCCCCACTTCAAAAAGCAAAACAAAATTACCTCGCTGATGCTCATTATCTCAGCATCCAGATAACAAAGTATTTATATAGCATTTTCACCAAGTCCTTAAACTTAAAATCGCTTCACATATGTTATGTCAACAACATTTATAATGGCCCTACCAATTTAGCTATTACCATAAGCAATACTTCATTATACATTATACATTTATTTATTTATATCAAATTTATATAGCCACCCATCTCGCAAGAAGTAACTCTGGGTAGAGTTAACTCTGTACAATAAAGATATAAAACAATGAAACATTTCAAAAAACCATTCATTATTGAAAAGTTTAAAAGCATACAGTGCACAAGAGTTTAAATTAGCAAGGGAGCCACCTCAAGATCTCGCTGGCCTCCTGAGAACCCCCAGGCCTGATGACAAAGGCAGGTCTTGAGAGACTTCCAGAAAGTAAGAAGGGATGGAGCTGACCTCACTTTGGGGTGGGAGGGGGGAGAATGTTCCATACATTATAATATGTATAATGTTACACATATTATAATATTCAAGTAGAGCACTAACCTGTCTATTGTTATCAAGGAATTCACAACTAAAATGGGATTTGAACAGGAAATTCATATTTTGACTATTGTCTTAATAAAGATCTACTGCCCATATCACACATGTGTTTACATATCATGCTGAACTATGGCTAATTTTAATAATGGCTTGTTGAATAAGCCATAATGATTATTCATATGTAGCTCTAAGATTTAAATCATGATTTACAATATACAGTGACTGTGTTCACACATCACACTGAACCAAAACCAAACAGACTACATTATGATTTAGCACGATTTGTGAATCTAGACAGAATGAGAGTATAAGACAATCAGCACCATGTTTTTCAAGACTCTTAATTTAGAAAAAAGGGAAATGCCTCATTGGAGAAGGAAAACAGCCAACTATTGGCTGCTCAAGATTCTTGGGGTCCTTGAAAATGTTACACACTCAAAAGTTCAAGCCTGGCTTCTTTGCTAACTGTTGGGTGTCTTTCTCCAGATACAAATGCATCAATCTTTGCATGGATTTGCCTAGTATTGTACTTTATGAAAATCCAGATTCCCATTATTATAACTTATTATCCACAAACATATCTAATAGAATCTGAATTGTTTTTGTTTCTAAGTCGTGCACATTACTACAGGTACCTGTTTAATGAGCATTTGGATTTAGCTTACACTTTTGCATGAGCATGATAATTAATTTGGATGTATGCCTCCCATCACACAGATCTGCAGCCAAGGATGATACTTCCACGTGCCCTTGATAAAACCACATCGGTTATCTTTAAGATACATACACAATGCTTTGCATAGATAGCATCATAGGGAAACAGTTCTGTTATGGATGGAACTACACATAACAATATAAAGCTGGCCTTCTATTGGCATGTCAGAATGTCCTAGAACTGGGGAATTCTGGGAGTTTTAGGCCTAATGCATTTTATTTCACAGCCAGGTTGAGGAAGCTGGCTTAGCAGTAGCAGTGACAAGACTCAAATGGTTATGACTGATAGGGGAAAAAAACCTTCACTGGAGTGTAAATATTAATTAAAATCTAACTATGACAGGAGAACTCGAAGACAAAGAAGTAGAGCCCTCCATAAGATTTTTTCAAAGAGTTTGAAATTGATATTGCTGAGTTCTTATGACATCATGAATATAAAAAATGCTCCCCAGAGTAAATGTTGTAGTATAGTTCCAATGTTAGTTGATAGATAATGTAGGTTCTCACTGAAGGTCAGGTAGGAATTTGTTAGGATTAAGAAGGGAGGTGAAAGTGTGGCCAAGTGTATTGTCAGTAGAGAAAAAGTAGATGTGAGCAAACCCATACACTGTTGGAATGTTGCATTCTGTTTTGAGATCACACAAGAAGGACAAAAGAAATTGGATCTGTTGATGGTGGACCTGGGAAGGTTCAGGTGGAGGAATTGGAAGGATCTGGCACCTGCTTTGCCCTTGTCACTAGCTGTGTGCTGCCACGAAGAACACTGCTTCCCAAAAGAGGGACAGTTGTTTTTTTCAGCAGTGAGCTTCACTGGCAGCACCACTAGCAACAGCAGTTGTGGAACTTTGAGGTAGAGCTGTTATCACCACCCTTATAAGCTGAGCAGAGGCATGAAGAATGGTGGCTGAAGTGGGATGTGAGACTAGACCTCAGCTTCGGATCTGTGATTGTCTGGCTCTGGATGAGAAAAGTAAGAGTACACTCAGAAGAATCAGACCAGAGAGGACTTCTTGCACAGGAGGAAGAACTTTGTGGCTGATGTTGATGGTTCAGGAAAGTAGAGGGGATCACCTTAGAATAATTTGTTTATGAATTCCTATGACAGAATGTTGGATGTAATTCATGGGCTGGCAGGAAAGATTTAGTGAGCCAGGTAAGACCCTAACAGATTGACTGTGTCTTATTAGAATATTTCCCTGAGCACAATCTGGAAAGTGCTTATGAGGGCTTCCCTCATGAGAAATTGGGGCATGAGAAATTGGGGAAACTTTGGCTGGTCAGCGTAAGATGATGTTGCAAGGCAGTACTGAGGTTTAAAATCTCCTAGGAAGATGGTTAGTTGGGAGAAAAAAAAAACATGAAGGGGGGTAGTTGTATTGTTAGAGTTGTTAGGTGAATGTATGCCTAGATGGCTGTGCTAGGCTAAGCCTACAGAACTGCTCTGCATGTGATGGCTGATACTAGTGGGGTGTGTGTTGAGTTGGGAGAATGTGAGGGTAACTATGAGGAAGTGATTGTTGTTTGCCTCTCAGATTATGCAATGGGCCCCAAATTGGGA